ACTTTGTGTACTAGGTGTACTTTGTGTACCGGGTGTACTTTGTGTACTTTGTGTACTGGGCGGTTGCGGTGTCGGGACTCGGATGCGATGCAAACCTCCAGAAGACTTTGTCTCGTCCGCCTCCAGCAGCTCGTCCTCAGCGGCCGGTGACACAGGAGAACCGCTACCGGAGCCCGGAGCTCTCCCCCCCCCTCTCCCCGCCTGCAGCGGGCTGTCCTCGGCTCAGAGCAGCGAGAGGACGCCGGGGCGCTAACTCAACCGTTAGCCGACAGGACCGCGTCTTTTCTCTCCGTCCGTCTCCGTGGGTTCGATTCCGCTCGAGTCGTCGTCGCTGAAAATGTTGACAGGATCCAAAACCACGTTCAAAGTGAGACAGATGCTTCCAGACATCAAGGTAAGTTAGCTCGACGCTAACTAGCTGCAGCACAAGCTAACTACAGTCTCTGTGTTGTTGTTGATGTTGAGCTGCTCCGAACAGTGTCCACCGAGGCTGAACTCAGGTCTGTGTCCTCTCTGTGGTCCGAGAGGACACAGACAGGACACAGAGAGGACACGATGAAATGAGACTGGATGAGATGAGATGCAGCTAAAGTCAGGCTTTCCATCTGTTTTCTTTTCTTATTGTATTTGTCCGAACATTGTGTCGCAGCAGCACAGTCAAACACAGACCTAGTATTAGTGAGAAATAAGAAAACATATATAAATGCAATGACAAATATTAAATAATATAGAGATCTGAATGGGTTGCACAGAAATCCAGCTTCAGATCAGATCAGATAATCCTTTATCAGTCCCACAACAGGGACATGTTCTGTGTCGCAGACAGTCAGAAAGATAGAAATCAATATAAGTAACATGTAGTTAAACATTACAATGTTATATCCAGTGTGAGCACATGAGCCTCTGTGGTAGATCGAGGTAGATCGTGCAGTTGATTTATGATTTTAAACACTTTCAGGTGAAGGTTTGAGCTCTGCACTAAAGTCTCCTGACATTGTCCACAGCAGCTCCGGGTGAGAAAGCAAACATCGGTGTAAAGTTCTCCCGACTCCCATTTCTGTATTGTTTTGTACGTGTCTGACACCGGAGGAAAAAAGCTTGGACCCGGATCCACGGACATTCTTCGGAGTTCTGCTGATCTCGTCCCCCCCGCTCGAGGCCAGGAAGCAGCAGACTCTGTCGTGATGCAGGAAACATCGGCCGTCGTTCACCACGCTGAGCTATAAATGGAAAACGGTTTTGCTGCCCGGCTGGATTTGAGAAGCTGCGATGCTGCACGCCTTAAAGAGGCCAGAGAGGAGCTGGTGAATCTTAATCACCGCTCATGGCCGGGGGGGGGGGAGGGGGAGAGGGGGTTCCCTCATATTCACAGAATGAACTGCACACTCATAAATATCGTTTCATCAAGATTCATGAATCATTCCCCAGATATTCGGTGAAAACATCCCACCACAGTGTGAGGAAAGAAACAAAGTCCAATGTTTTCTTCCTCCGCCCCTCCACTGAGTTTCGTGGGAATCCTTCCTGTAGTTTTTTTGCGTATTCTCGCCGACAAAGAGAAGAGACAGGGACGATCAGAGAGACACAGACCTTCTCTGTGTGCACACACGGCGTGAACGTGTCTCCTGGCACGCCGTTGTGCTGCCTGGCTTTTTTGTTTCCCCCGTGGTTATTCTCAGCAGCCGCAGGGGGAAACAGTAACAGATGCCTCTTTACTCTGCGAGGCTTTCATGTGGAGTGTGTGTGTGTGGGGGGGGTGTTAGTGGGGGGGTGCGCTGCTCAACATCTGGCTGTCGCCATGGAGACAGCAGTTGAGAGTGAGAGGGGTTTGAATTACCTCACCAGAGGAATCCCATGTGTTTCTGTACCAGAATGTGTCTGAGGCTCAGATATGGTCGTGTGTGTGTGTGTAGGTTGTGTAGGTTGTGTAGATTGTGTAGCAGGCCACCCACACCATCTTGTGGGTTTCACTTCCATGAGCTGGTGTCAAGACTTTTTCTAGAAAATCTCATCCAGTCAGAGTCTGAATGAATCTGGACCAGACGATCTTCTCTTTTATCACGTTGAGACGATGAAGCCGTTTAAATCTGACGGATTATTATTTTTTATGTATTTATTTTTTATTAAACAGTTCGATTTGTTGCAGTCAGCAATCATTCTGCGGTGATTCATTCTGCATCGAACTGAAACAACAGCTGAACGCAGGATATTACCCATGATCCCCAGCTTCCTGACCCAGAAGAGCTGCGACTGTAACAAGTGCACCTCTGTTTAGAATTCTTCATATTTTAAAAGTTCACTGGCTGAATATTTGAATATACAATAAACATATATTATATAATATTCATCTTTTTTTTTGCAGGAATGCATAAACGCTATTCCGCACTCCAAGTCAGTGTGGCATCAAACTCATGCAGCTATTGTGTGATGAACAAAAGGGCAGCAGAACCCCCGAGTTCTCTCTGTCTGCATCTCCAGCATGAAGGGCGCTGCAGCACAAAGCTCCACAGAAGCCAAAATGCCAGAGGACTGATCATCTGAGCCTGATAGTAGTGAGCCACAGCTGCACGGTCACCCACTCCCACTCCCACTGGATCCAGGCGTCACATTCACTGGCAGCCACTGAACCTCTGGAGCTTCTTAACGGGGACACAACAATGGGCTCCTCTGAAAACCAGCGCAGATTTATGGTTCCGTTAGCGGCTGCATCGATCTGGCGTTGGGGCGATAATTAACCGGGGGCACTATTCACCAGTGAGAGAGCTGTGTGCTGTGTGTTTTGAGTTTATAGAGTGGCTCTGGTGATTTCGCTCTCGGGAGCTGTCGGAGGAGAGAATGTACCAGCCTCGTCTGTGTGGGGGTTTCTACGGGCTCCTTCTTCTTCTTCCTCTAAACAGACTGTAGGTGTGAACGGACCTGCCCACATGAGACACACTTTAATGTTTGAGTCTAAACCTCAAACATCTTATCGTCAGGTGACCTTCGAACCGTTCTGTACTGACCTGACATCAGCAGCTACACTAACATCTTTGTGTTTTTACGGGCCAATGAATCGTAAATCATTCAGGAAGGAAACCAATCAAAGAGAGCCACTAAGTACCTGTTTGTTGTGCGTCTAGAAGTCTAGACCGATGCTGCTGCGCTGGTTGATGCAGTCTTTTGTGCGGAAATGGTGGAGTTAGATATTCACTATAGTTTGAAGCAGAACATTTAAATACTGACCGCCAGAATTCCCAATTCATGAAACTTTAGTTTATTATTTGATCCTATGTGCTGGGAGCTTTTCTGTAAGTTCTCTGTTTTCTCATATCGACTTGTGTTAATCCTCTCAACCACGGCAGCATATTTCCACCGAGGACTTCATTCCACCGTGAACCTCTGATAACATTCAATGCTTTTTCCTTTTCGCTTGCCCTTGGCAGTTTTTGTTTTCAGTTCGTGTGTTCTGCTTCTCCAGCAGCAAAAAACATTTAATCGCCGCTGAAGGAAAGACGAGGAATTGAGGCAAAGGCTTCTGGGATGTGTGAGGTCACAGTACATTATTTATGTTGACCCAAAAACACTCGTGCATTATTCTGAAGGGAATGAGAGGAAATGCTTCAAAGTGAGCTGCGTTTAGCAAAACAACCTCATATCGCTCTCTTTGCTTCAAAGCCCGTTCACACTGCCCGCACTCAACAGAGGAAATGACAAGGACAACACAAATAAGCAGGCTGAGTCCCTTTTTAGTATCATGAATAGTGTGTTAAGCTCGTGTGTATTTTTATACAAGTAGCAGCTTTAAAACGCAGAAGCAGAATTGTCCATTTTAAAAACAGATGTTGGTCCTCTGTGTTTTTTTTTGGATGTCACTGTAAATATTAGTCATGCACGTAAAATAAGATTTGAAGACACAATAGATTTACATTTAAGGGATAGAGAGGCCGCAGGATACAGCTGTTTCTTCAGGGTCCCAACTGAAGCACAGCGTCTTTCGCTTGTTATTTGGGGAAAAGAGAAATATGTTCCAGACCCAGAAACAAGCACGCTCACTGCAGAAGCCTGGCCACAGTAGCGAGGGGAAGCCATGAGCAATGGAAACTGCAGTAAACCTTGGCTATTGTCCCTGAGGATTATAAGGGAAGGAGCAGAGAAGGGCAAAAGTGGGGCAGAGAGGCAGACGGAGGGGAGAAAGCGGCAGTGAAAGTGATATTGTGGGGACAAAGAAGCCGCACAGTGAAAGCAAAAGTGAAACGTCAGCGAAAACACAGCCCAGGAAATATGTTTTTGAAGTGATGTGTGACTCAGAGGCTCTTACTTTAACCACATACTTTTACGTTTATGCCAAGACTTTATCTCTTTCCCATTTTTCCTTATCTCTCTTGCCCACTTTACCTCTCGAGCATTAAACTCACGAGCAAAGCAGAAATGCCTGGAATCCAGAAATAAACGCCTTTGCTGCAGCTCTTGTTAAACTGTCACAGTCACAGCATCCATTCATCTAGTTTTGGATTGTTTGCCAGAGGGGGAGCCGCTCATATCGGCCTTAATCACGCTGTGTACATATCTGAGGAGTACTTCACCTTGTGAATGGCAGTGTTATCTACTTGCCTCACAAGACCCTGAGGTGCAAGTTTGTCAGCCTCGACAACCTTCCGAGGACAGATCTAGCGGACGAGACGTATGAGTGGAATAATAAAACAAGATCTGACGTCGTTGAAAGTGGAAAAGGAACTCAGCTGTGGTTTTTCTGTGGGTGTTGATGCAGAGACAGAGAGAAAACAGGGTACATTTAAAAACCATATGGAAATAAAACAACGAACAATTCTCTGGCAGGAACTGAGCCTTATGAAAATTTAAGTGGAAAACAGCCCTGGTGCTTTTTGCTGACTCGTGGATTCGTGCCTTTTTAAGTTCAGTCAGTTAAATTGTCGGAACAAAATCATATCAAGTTATCGGAATAAACAGCCTCGAAGCATGTGTAGGAGAGATGTTTGTATTCTTCCAGTTTCATGGTCGTTGGGTGTAGGAAACGTCAACACGCCCACTCGCCTACTGTGAATTTATAGAAAATGTTTTCTCTCGTGGACTCACTCAGACATTTTCTGGACATTTAACTTGGGTCCTTGGATGAAATGTCCAGACTTCAATGCATGTCTGAAATCAGCTTCATAGTTTGAATGCCTTGCTAACTTGTGTATTTCTGCTCATGACAACACAATCTTTGAATTTGTCTTATTTTGGTTTTGTAAGAAATGTGGGAAAGTGTCACTTAATTGTAAAATGTACAAAAAACTTCTTTCTGAAATCTGCACAGTAGACCTGAAGAGTCTTTCCGTCCCTCAATGAGACGGTCAGACGCCTTCGCACGCAGTGAAAACAACCACGTATGAATAAGTGTGACTTTACTGCCTCGACTCTGAGCAAAGGTCGTCTTTGTTAAATCTTCCCTGTGTGTTTTTTTAAAGGAGGCCCACGCGCTTAAAGTGTCAGGTTTTCACGAGCAGGGCCGCTAACACAGAACTCACCACACTGCAGAGCAGTTAGCACAAAATTGGCGACTCAGTGGATTGGTTGTTATTGTTCAAACATCCCTGCTGACTCAAAGAAACACTGATGCTTCACGATAAAAGCCGGTGCCTTAACTGCAACAATGAATAATGGCCTCATTGTGGGTCCCACTCGGCCGGAGCTGCTGAGAGAGAAAAGCTTGAGTGTGTGAAACGTATAGTTTTCTTGGATATCAACTCGAGGCTCTAACTCTATTTCTGTGCTAATATAAAGCTCGTTCACCACCTGTATAATCATATGGTCGTCTCACGTTGCAGGGGTTGGCACGTTCCGGGGTTTTCTAGCCGATAAACGTAAATGGCCTCCGTAAGAGGGGGTTAGCAGCAGAGATAAGTGGAAGCATATGTGCTAGTCTGATTATAGGAACCTCTGCGGCTCTGTGGAGTTGGACGGACTCAAGAACGCAGGACTCTATGACTTTTATAGAAAAAAGCAGGAACAAACAGAGCGAACGACAACATGGAAACTAAGAATCACGGAGCGTCGTGCGGTTGTTTCAGTGTGTGTGAGAATGAGTCCGCTGAGACGAGCCGGGCTTTGTTGACAGAGGCAGACGCAGCCATAATTTAAATGTAATCAACGAGACCAAAGGTAACAGGAGGCTCAGTCCGTGGGCCGAGTGTGTGCTGTCCACGTTTGTATTTCCTGTGCACAGGTTGAAATTGAGGCCTGTTCTCTGAAATGAACTCTGCACTCACGTTCAGGGTGTCGGAGTTCTCGTCAGGTGGTTCACAAAACGATGTGTCCTGAGATGGATGGTTTTGACATTTTGGTAAATCTGCTTTTTTTGGTTTCTTGTCAAGCGTTGAATGAAAAGGTCAGTATCTTTCTGAAGCTACCGCCTGTAGTTGTTTATCTTAGACTGAGTCCTGGCTCAGTCCAAAGGTAAAAAAGAAAAAGTTGTTCTAAGTTCATATTTTATGGGCAGACCATTATGTGGTATCGATCCTCTCACCCGACACGCAACATGAAAAGTAATGAGCAGCTTCTGAAATGTCCTTTAAAATTACAAATGTAAGCACCGACCATCTTCTGCCCGTTGCTCTGGTATGTAAAATAAAGACAGTTGCTGTGGAAACCGACGTTGAATGTCAGCTGTGTTTCTCTCACAGGAGAGGATGCTGAGTCAGAGCGGGCTGAACGCAAGGAGCCGAGATGTGTTGGGACTTCGCTGCCTTCCAGGTAAGATCGTCAGGATCATTTATGAACCTTTTGCACAGTGAATCAGTGTGTAGCACACATCACGGCCAGTCCAGCACACCACACCTATAAAGCTGCTGAATAATACAACACCTTGCGGTGCGGACTTTGGTTCACAAGCTGCTCCAGCATCAAACATCAACACTCAATAACACGGGGTAGAAAACTGCGGCTGCTGCACGCGCGGTTTAAAATGACCATAACGTGCCTGGACCTGGAAAGTCACAGCACGTCCGCTGCCTTTCGAGATGGGAAATCATCTGCTGGAATCTTTTTTCACTCAACAACGAGAACTTCCCCCAAAGAATAATAAGTATCTTCAACCAGCCATTAGGGGACTGATGTCTGTGAGTGTGTGCAGTGTGGAGCAGCCTGATTGAATTTAAGGAGACTGTCGGGCCTGTGTGCACTCGACTGAGAGCCATTCCAGTTTATAGTGTGCGGAGGAGTTGTGGTGATAAGATTCGCACTGTGAACCTGTAAACGTGTGTGAGGCGAGTTTATGGCGGAGTGATGCCTCCTTCTCTTTCTTTTTCATACTTCATCTTTTTTTTCATCCTTTTCAGTCATTAAGTGTTTTTCTCACCAGTGAAGCTGAGTTTTTAATATCTCAGTATTTTTGGATTGATGCACAGTTGGAATTATCAGTTTCAAACATATACACCAACATCACATTACACACATTTTCCTGTGTGAGTAAACACACACACACACACACACACACACACACACACACACACACTTCCTTATTTCATTGACTTAGTCTAATTTGTTTTCCAGTCGTGTATTTTTATCGAATACTTTCCAGACTGTGCCGCTGCCTGACAGCCCTCACACAGTTCCTATTCTTAGCTGGTAACATTTCGCTGTGAAATGTCGACTGACTCTACTTCACATTTTTTCCCCTGCTGGCGTTCAGCTCCATCTCCATCTCCAACAACACTGTACAGTTCTCATTCTTTCCCCTCTCCACCTTCATTCCAGGCAGATTATACACACTGCTGCCCACGAGGACCTGCGGAACATTAAGAGAAAGACGAGGACAGACGTGTATTGCAGCACATTCATGCCTCTTCTTCGTAATTTGCCGTCTGAAGCTCCTCTCTGAACTGAAGTTACTCACCATGAGTCTGCAGGAAATGCAGCATTTCTTTCCACTTTGGGCGTCTTTTAACAGTGGATTCATATTTTGGAGCAGGGAAACCTGGCTCTGTGCTGCGGCTGCCGTGTCGAGACAATTTCCCTTTCAGACCCGAAGGAGGCGCTGACGTTACGAGTGAAAGGGCTCACGTTGCACCTGCGGGTTGCGTTAAGGACTAACTTAAATTCATCCTGCCTCGTACGAGAAGCAGTGACAAGTTGAGTGAAACCACGTGGATGGCGAATCGGTGATATGTTTGCAGAAGTCGTGCTGCGTTCGTCAGTAGTTAACGGGCGGGGCTCAGCATCCGCGGTGCTCTCATGTGACACAGGGACACAGGGCTGCAGAAACCGAGCCGGCCTACGGGAGGGCGAACAGGTCAGCACTGCTCCAGCAGCCATAAGTAGATCATGTACCTTTTCAGTGCTGAGTGGGTAAAGGGGGTGTTCATTCACACACAATGCCAAGAGGCCAGGAGCGACTCCACGAGCCTCTTTCTCCACAGTCTAGTGTTACTGTGGGATTTGTGGACTGTCAGTCAGCATTATGCCTCGTTAATGACGGACAAGAGACCGGAGCATTGACGTATACTCAGATCTCCATCTTGATATTGGAAAAGGTTTCAAATTGTCTTTGTTTCTGTGACATGTTAAAGTCGTCACTTGAAACCGTTGTGTTGCAAGAAATGGAGTTTGGTGGGTTTTTTTTCTGTTGCTCTCGGCTGTGCCAGCATGCACGGTATTGTTTTCACCCCTGTCTGTGTTTGTGTCTGTGTGTGTTTGTGTCTGTGTGTGTGTTTGTGTCTCTGTGTGTGTGTTTGTGTCTCTGTGTGTGTGTTTGTGTCTGTGTGTGTGTGTTTGTGTCTCTGTGTGTGTGTTTGTGTCTCTGTGTGTGTGTTTGTGTCTGTGTGTGTGTGTTTGTGTCTGTGTGTGTGTTTGTGTACAAAATAACTCAAAAACGCATGCTTGGATTTTCTCTAAACTTGGTGGGAACATTAAGTGGGATGGGATCTCCACATGATTACCTTTTGATAGCACACAGTGAAAGCAGCTTCTATCCACCGACTGTGTTTATGCTGAATTCTTCATTGTTATTTAAACAGAATGTTTCCTCATCGGTTAGTCATCATCGCCCCCCGTATCCGTATAGGTTTAACATATAGTGCAAGCTCTTCCTGATCTTTACTCTTCATCCCATTGGAGGATTGAAGAGGGCAGAAACCTTTCTCTCTGCACGCATTCTAGTTTTAAAATGAGGAACAAATGTGGGTGAAAGCAAATAAAGCAGAGGCTTGAGTGTGTGGTTCAGATGTCTCTCAGCTGTATTTTCTCAGGCTGATCCTCCAGGTCGCTCTCTCCTCATGTCCGATTCGCCGACCACAACGTCAACAGAAACAGCTGAAATATCAACGGGGGAAACTCAAATTTAATTATAATAATACAAACTCAACGTCTTGATACGAGCGTATTAAATAAGTTCGTGAGCTCTTCTCTTTAAAACTTTCTTGAATTGATTTATTAAACATTGTTGTAGCTCACACTTTATTAGTGAAGCACTCTAACTGGAGCTCTGCAGGAAGAGCATCAAACATTTTATTCAGGACATCAAACACCTTCAATTATTCAGCTGACTCATAGATTTCTAACTAACAGGACCACAGGCCTCTGTCCCGTGTCTTCCTCTCCCTTTCCCCTCCAGCTCTTAAATCTCCAGGCTTGTGTTTTGCTCTGTTGCACCCTGGGAAGACGTTAAAATGACGCAGGCGAGGCCACAGATTGTCCTTTTAAAAGACAAACTCTCGACAAGAGTTCACTTGTGTTCACAGTCCCCAGCATCTTAAATCTCTGCTGCTAGATCGTGTGTGGTCAGGTTTAATTGATAAGTCCGACCTCAGGTTTTAATCCGTGGTTTTCGGGGCTAGAGGGTAAAAGCATAATAACAGAGCGGACCCAAAAGATTTAAACTCCTCTGGTGCAATCAGCAAATGATGGTGTTAGAAGCAAAGTCTCCTCTTCCTTCTTCTCTCTCAGCATAAACAAATGTTTCATGTGTAAAAAAAGGTTGTTTCCTGTTTGTGCGTCTGTATCCCCCCCCCCCACACACACAGTCATTAAGCAGAGACTGGGCTCAGCCCAACAACGGCTCCACAGGCGTTTACGACTTTAGGCCCGTGCAGGTTCTACATGTGCAACTGAAGGTTTTTTTTTAATGGTTTCCTCAGAATTTCACATTTTGTTTTAGTGGAAACATCGGTCCCGTCTTTTGAAATGAAATAAACGCTTGCGTGTGTCTGGCCAAACCGCTGCGCTTGTCGTGGACAAAAAGTCTTTTTTTTTTTTTTTTTTGCCTACCCTAACCCAGACTCTGTTACCATGGAAACCCACAGTCGAGCTGGCATAGGCTTTGTATTCCAGCGAGAGGCTATTGTAAGTGTGTGTGTTTGTGTAGAGTGTCAGTGTGTGTGTGTTCTTTGAGAGGTTTAATTGCACATCTGTGTTTGTGTGTAAGAATTTTCTTTTTGGGTGAAAAGGTTTTTTTTTTTAGAATCTTTGTCGCCCTTCACACATACAATAACATATTTTTCATTTTGTTTTCGTTCCAAATTAGAGCTGAAGTAAACTGCTCAGCGACGCGTCTCTGTTTTCTCTCTCGTCATTTTTATAGATCTTGATATTCGAGGTTTCACTTGAAGTTGCTGTTACACAGAACGTCCGAGTCGCTCACATCCTTCCTGCTCTTCACCGAGGGAACGTGCTGTTTGTTGCTCCGTCATTGATCTTTGCTTACACAACACAATGACAAGATAATGCCATTAGCTTCCTCTCAGTGTTGAGGATGATAATATTTTAAATCACATTTCTGAAGTTGCAAAATGTGGTCGTTCTCGTGCCGCGTGTTGATTTTCAGCTGCACATTTGGAAAAAAAACACGAATTTGTTTTTCACTCATACGTTTTACGGCTTTTTGACAACATCTTTGTTGGTGTGTCATTCAGACCCGACAGTTCCTGTCATGTGATGTGTGTGTGTTGCTCCTCCCTACCTGTCTACCGCGGCCTGAGGAGCTGAAACAATAGGCAACGACAGGAGCACACATCTTTTTATTTAAGGGGGCTTGTTACACCCACTCCCTCCAGCCTACACTCAGTGAACTTCCATTGCCTGTTGTTTCTCCGTCTGTACACTTCCTGTTATTTACCCTCACCACAAGTTACCCCACCCAACCCCAATACACGCTCAGTTATGCAAGATGAGAGGTCAAAAATAGTCATAGTCCGTACGGCACAGTTCAGACCTCTGCCCAGTGAAACCACCTTTAACTTCTCTAGACGTTATATTTGGATCTGCACCGATATTCACACACTCATAGAAATCAGTCCCCTACATATTCCTGTTTTTTTTTTTTTATCAAGATAAATGAAATGAAACCTGATCCACACGAAACTGAATTTGCTTCTTCCTTGACTCGTACCTAATCTTTCTTCCAATCAAACACACAAACCGACCGACAGACAAACGGACGGGGCTGAAAACAAGCAGAGGCACACGGACCAAACTAAAACCCCTCTCCTTGACGTGCATTACCCATAAATTCCATCGTGTAACCTCTGATCCACAGGCGAGTGTGTTCTTCAGAGAGCTGTTATGGTGAGGAAGAAGCTGACTGCCAGGGAAGGAAGAGGCTGGCTGTCTGGGACCCTCTTCTGTACTCACTTCAGAGTCGCCTTCGTGCCCCAGGACGCTCCCAAACCCGATGTGAGTTATTACACAGTTTACAGTATCTTTTTTTTTATTTTTTTAAAAAACCATCCATGTGAAAACATTCAGAACTGAAGAATGTTGTAAATGTTTTCCTGTAAATAACCATGATGCAGGACAATGCAGACCCGGTGCTCCTGGGAGATCACGATGTGGCTCTGGCGTCCATAGAGAAGGTTGTGGTTGGTAAGTGAAGCCATACGAGCACGTTTTCACTCTGAACCAATAGAAAGTGTTTTAAATTTGTGCCGTGACTCAAGATTTATTGACTGTGTGACACTCCCTGTTTGGGTTCAGTCACAGAGTTGTGTAAAGTATATGATGCGTTCTGCTGGAATAACACTGAGGCTAAAACTAATAATAAAGCTGACAGTGAAAAAACTTGGCCCGTCCTCGTTGTTAAGTTAATCTTAGTGCCGCCTTCACTTTATTAACTAAGAACTATAGGTACAATATGTATATAAGCTAAAGATATAAATCTCTTTGAGTCTCGACCCATTTTTCTATTTTATTTAAAACCCGTCCCCCCTTGTGTCGCAGTGGGACCAAACAGGACAAAGCTGGTGTCCCCGAACTCCTCGCTGAAATTCACTCCGGAGGAGCTGGTGCTTTACTGCAGGGACATGCGAGTCGTCTGCTTCCTGTTTGACCGCCTCACTCCTGACGCACAGGTCTTAGAGGTGTGTGTCTGTCGCCTGGTCATATTTAAATATATTAATGTACTGATATCGTTTCAGTCGTTGTACAAGCTCATGTGTAGAACTAATGCTCACAGGCAGGAATTGGCTGTTAACTTTTTATTTGAATTTTAAACATCCAACTGCGTGTGTGTTTGTGCGTGTGCATGTGTGTGGAGTGTGTGTGTGTTTTGGCTTGGATCCCAGGCTCTGGTTACTGTCACACTGTACATCCGTTCTTTCAGAGCCTGAAGACCTATACCTAGAGAAGCCGATCTGTGCCATAGACCACTGATCTGATGCTGTGCCCTCCATGTTGAAAGCTGACGACCTTTGTCATGTTGATGCGCTCCCTGTTGTTCCCCTCCTCAGATAACCTACACCATCGCCAAGACCTACCAGCCTCTGAAACCGGGGTCGGTCTTATCTTTCCAGAACGCTGCTCTGGGGAGTGTAGGTGAGTACGTCGATGTTCGGATCCACAGTCTGTCAGTTACCGACCAATATCCTGGAGGGTTAAACCTGAGCCAGACAACAAACATGATAGCAATCATCACTTCCGAGGAAAAATGGAACATCTCTATAAAGTATTTTTATTTGTGCAGAGTAGCCTTCGTGTGTTTTCATGTTTTGCGACAATAAGATGATTGTGGGTTGATGAATTTAAACATTTGTCATTCAGTCTGTCTCTCATTCTGTTGTTTTTTTCCCGTGCATATTTTCACTGTGATGAATATTCATGAAATAACAGCTCAGTGGACGTGAGAGCCACATGTCCGCTTGAATCTGGACCACAGCATCAGTGTGTTCGTGCTTCGCCTGGTGTGATTTGATTTTCACTCAGTCCAGCTCCAGAAACAGATTGTCCCCCCCCTGACCTCTCCTCAGTTTCATCTCTTTCTCTGCCGTTCTTTTCCTTCTGGCAAACTTAAGTATCTGCTGCCATCTTTAACACTGGGGAGAATGTTAAGCAGGAAACATCACGGTTTCTCTGCAGACCATAATGAAAATGTAGACCTCACATCCCCTCTCGTTGGCAAATCAGAAACATTCTCTTTGGTGATGACGCAGTGAAAATACTGTCTTTGAAACCATGTCCAGATGTGAGATGTGGTTTGAAACGGAGGCTCACTCGGGGCTTTCTTCAGGGCTGGTGTTGACAGTGATGGGGGACAGATCAAGCCGCTGTAATTAAATGTTGTGGCGTCCAAATGTATTTCAACAAATAGGAAACACACTGTACTGTTCTCTTCAACCTATACAGGGAAATATTAGCCTGTCTGCACAATACATCATGCTGTGTTAAAGCTAAGCTAGACTGTGGCGGACTCACTGTCAGCTGCTGGATAAATAATGCAAGCGCCCCCCCTCCCCCCCCGGGAAACAAGTTAGGATAACCCACAGCTCAACTCTGCCCTACGGGTCAAGTTTGTCCTGGGACGTGACCATCGCTCTGTACCACCGTTCCCTCTCGCACGCTCCGTTTTTCAGACATGAAGTGAGAATAATGAATAATGAAACTGTGGAGAATGTCCGGACTGACTGACGAACACTGTTCCCTCGGTTGACTTGAATATCTGTAGTTCAGTCCACGTCTGAAAACAGCGACTGAGACAAGCCAGTGCCGCAGATGTGACTGTTATTCATTAACAGACAGCACATTCACTCCAGCTTTGTCGTTTTTTGATCTCACAGCCGTCTGTGCCGGCCTGCTGAGTCGACCATTTTAGAACAGCTGCCGATTAATTAATTAATTAATATCCGTAAAACAACATTAAAAGAGGGAACAACTGTCTAAACCCCCCCAAACCAACTCTCTGATGTTCAGGGCTGATCTCTTTCTAAAATGGCTGCGTACTCTTTTATACAGAGGATGATTAAAAAACCAATATCATCAGACTGTATCTGGGCTCTGCAGAGTCACAATCAGAATAATATTTGCACTGTGTTACATCACGATGTTTTATTCAACTGAAAAACAAACAACTCAACCGAATCCTTTTCCGTCTCTAGAAATGAAGCAGTTTCTAAGCAACCGTCGTCGAGACACCCACATGAACTGGTGTGAGTCGGCCTCGGACTTGGAGCAGGAGCTGGAGCGCTGTGGGGCCAGTGGCTGGAGAGTCAGCTCAGTGAACGACCGCTTCGAGATGTCCACCAGGTAAATTCACGCCCGAGGTGGGAAGTAGCTGTAGAGGTGGAGTTCTCTCAATGTGCTCTCCCACGGTTTATGTGTTGCATCCTAAGCAAACAGGCAAACGAGAAATGATGAAAACAGGTTTCTAGAAATGTGTGATGCGTATATATTATCGAGTCCTCGACGGGAACATTTGGGAAGCTGTGTTTTCTAAATGAGAATCGTTGACAAAGCCAAGAATCATCTTGTAGAAAAGACACAAACTGAGACCACTCAGTGAATTAATGTGCATCTCTCACATGTTACCAACTCCTGTCACACTTCTGTCTCTACGTCATCGTTAACTCTGAGCGTTTTGTTTCCCGACAGTCTGCCGAGGTTCCTCGTGGTTCCACAGAAGGTGTTAGACACCGAGCTCAAGAAAAGCTTCGCCCACTTCAACGAAGGACGCATCCCCGTGAGTGCACTTAGCATCGAGATACTGATTCAGCCCGCCGCCCCGTTTACCACTATTCGTTTTTGACACCGGTCCATGAAGTCATTTCATATCATGTGAGCAATGTTCCTCCGGCCGCACTTATCTTTGTTACGAAACATCCGGAGTCTGAGGAGTTAAGTTCGAGTTTGTGTAATTCCAAAACCAAAGAAGAGACGTACAAACCTCTTCTACATTTTGCTGTAGCGGTCGAGCTTCTCAGAAAAAACTCAATTGGATTTTCAGGATGAAACACATTTTCTAGGTCACAGCAGACAAAGATAGAACAAATCTGATTAGCCCCTAAAAGCTAAAAGCTCAAAAACAAGTTAGACTCTTCGTTTTCTTGCTTTAGAAAAAGAGATGATTAAATTCCAATCTAATGTTGGGACACGAGAAAATAAAAAAAAAAGAATTTAGATTCTTCAAAACAAGCACTCATCCTTCCCCAGTGTAAATTATTATGTTTTATAGTATAACATTTCTCAGCTGCAGTCATCTCCCACAATGTTTTCCCTTATTATTAACATTCCTGTGTCACAAATTACAAGACGAACACAGACGCAGTGGATTCCTTCAGGGAAAATTCACACAGAGGATGAAACTGTTCTTCCCGTTTCAGCGCTGGTGCTGGCGACACCCTCGAGGCAGTGATCTGCTGCGAATGGCCAGTTTCCAGAACAACATTTATCACGAGAAAGACGACATCAGGTTGGTGTTTTTTTTAACGTTTATAACGTTCGAACACTCAAACTTTGGTCTTAAAACATTAAATGAAGTCACTGTTTCAGCCTAAACCATGATGTGGAGCCGTTAGAGGAAAAACTCTTTTATTATTTTTTATTATGAATTTCTGAAACTGCAGAGTTTACAGAAGCTTGATGCTTCAGTCAGAAAGGCGGAGTTAACTTTCGCTGCTGTGGATGCAGATGTTGACAGCAGGATGTGTTGCTCTGCAGAAACCTGGAGATGATCCTGTTCGGCTGCCAGTCGTCTCTGTGTGTGGTGGTGGAGCTGGGCGAGGAGCTGCCGTCGCCCGCCGACATCCAGCTCGCTCACAGCCGCCTGCGCGCCCTCTGCCTGGGAGGTAGGGAGAACGTGACGAGCAGCTTTATTTACGTTTGACCTCAAGTCCCATTTTGAAGGGTGAACTTTACGATCAACATGTCAGAATTACATTAAGCTCGTTCAGGGTGTTGGTGGAAGCTCGGAACAGACTTTGTGATTCAGACTTTATTGTTGTTTTTGTCGTGGCCGCACATTCCGGTGGGTAAGTAAGAACAAAGATAACAAAACCAGTGATTGTCTACGACTACTGGCCCCGGAACTGAAATGCTGACCCACCTCTCTCTCTCACACACAGACAGACACACACAGACTCACACACAGACTCACACACAGACTCACACACAGACTCACACATCTGTCAGCTCTGTGTTGTGTCTTTTGTGGGCGAGTGCTTCATGGCTCAGTGGATTGTTCGGTGAAAACAGACGCTCAGATGTATTCGGTGTTTTTGGTGAAGACTCAGTGGGTTGTTAGTTTTCACAGCAGCTGAAGAGAGAGAGGACGTCACATTTAAGATTCGTTTCGATGATGATTATATTGAGCAGGTTGTGTAAAGAAGTTCTCGGATGTTAAGCGGTTGTAAATAGATGAAAACTGCTCGTTCACTAACAGTTTAAATATAAAACGACCACAGTGAGGGTCACATGTTTGTGTTTGTCTCTAAGATGTTGAAACATTCAGAAGAAGAATTGAAGACATTAAATTTTACTTGGTATTTTTAACAAAATTGGCAAACGACTTTTCAAAAGGAACTCTTTAAGGTCTGGAAGATGTATTGAATTAAACAGTATTAATACATAAACAGAGTACTGACACAGTAAACCATCTCATTGTTGTGTCCGTGGTCTTGCACCAGTTTTTACATTGAAGTCCTCCCACATCCACACGCTCCTTCTTCTTCTGTGGCTCATGCTCTGGTAGATATAACGTCTGAATGTGATCTGTTTTATTCCTGTTTTGACTCGTAGATATCTCCACATCTGTGTCGGTGCCTGATGACAAGTGGTTATCTACCCTGGAAAGCACCCACTGGCTCGACTACACAAGGTAACGGCTCCGATCGGCCAAGTCTGGCAAAATATGCGTACAACCAAAAAAAAGGCAGGGTTTTCCAGTTCGGTTTTATTTTGGAGTTTTCATCGTTTCATTGTTAACTGACTGAAAAACTGTGATTTCAGGCCCTAAAACCCTGAGAAAATATTACATATCAGTGTATTATCTTCTGAACTTATTGATTTTCTCCCTAGAATTGTATTATTATTACTTAAAGGTACTTTCTACACAATCGTTTACCTTAAAAAACATTGAAATATTCAGGGATATATTTGGTGAATATGTTTTTACACTGTAAAATAACCAAAGGTGCATTAAGCTGCATTTAGATCATTCAACTTAGAACGTTTTTTAAGCAACACGCGCCTTAATAGTATCTTAATACTTAACTCCTTATTTGTTAGACTCAGTATTTGTACAAAACATTTTTGTCACATGAATGTGTTTCCTTCACATATTCATATATTCATCATATATATATATATTTTCCCATCAACCTGTCCCCTGTCTCCAGGTCCTGTTTGAGGAAAGCTTCAGAAGTTGCCTGCTTGCTTCGTGGCGGTCACCTGACCGTGGCACTGCAAGGTGAGTCACGTGACCCAGGAGCCCGGCTCACATTATTCAATCCATTCATTATTCACGGAGCCTCCCTCCCATTAATCCCACATCAGGGCTCGCCTTGAAGTAGCCACAGGGACGAGCACGCTGTCAATAGACCTCCGTGCAGCGTGAGGACACGGACGCACCGTTCATTACATGAAGCAGCACATTCATTTATCTTGAGACTCGAGGGAAAAGTCAAATGTTTGATTTAACTGGTTTGAACTGGTGACGGTCTGTTAGTGCCACGAGGTCTGAAGCGAAGTTCGATGACCTTTTTTCCTCATGTTCGGCTGTTGCAGAAGCGGACGACCGGGACATGAGCTGCGTGGTGTCCAGCCTGGTGCAGGTGATGTGTGACCCCCACTGTCGGACCCAGTGTGGTTTCCAGAGCCTGGTGCAGAAAGAGTGGGTGATGTCCGGCCACCGCTTCTACAGCCGCATCAACTACCACCGCGACAACGACAAAGAGGAGGTGAGACTTTGCAGTCTGGTGTTGGATTCCCTGTGACTCTTTCAACCGCTCTGCCTCACCTCCCACTGAGGGGCTGCAGCCGAGGACAAATCTGTCTTCTACCTCGTCTTCCTGACCTCCAGCGTCTCTTGTCCTCCCTCCCTCCCTCCCTCCCTCCCTGTAGGCTCCGGTCTTCCTGCTCTTCCTTGACTGTGTGTGGCAGCTGTGGTCCCAGTATCCGTCTCGCTTCCAGCTGACAGAGGACTTCCTGTTGGCCCTGCACGACAGCATCCACCTGCCTCTCTTCTCCAGCTTCCTGGGCAACTGCCAGCGAGAGAGATGCAAACGCTCCCAGGTACCCGACACCTGAGTTTTGGTTTTGGTGTCTCTGGACTGAAAAAATGGCCATAAAGGCTGATCTGTGAATATTATCATATTATTTCTATTTACAGCCGATACAACCTTTTGCACAAACTTGCAGAGAAAAGAGCATTCATCAGAAAATGTGTTTTTAAAAATTGTATAACCTTATTCTCTGCTATGCCCAGAACAACGGGCAGTCCTACACGCCTGTGAATGGTTGGAGGGACGCCCTTCATCAGGACTCGTCCTCAGATCCGTCAGACCCTCCTCTGCCTCCCGTGTGGGACTGGGCGCTGCAGTACAGCAAACCCAGACGAGACCGCTTCACTCAACCCGTCCCCCCGACCCCACCGCTCCAGCCCCTGCTCAACGGAAACCTCAACACAAACCCAGACACGCACAAGGTAGGACCGTTCTTTCCCATGATGCAATACACCCTCTGGTGGCCATGATCGGGAGCTGTCAGTTTAACAACAGACGTCGTCAGATGTTCATTTATTTTCAGTTTTGTACATTGACAGATATTAGTTCAGATCCTGTTTGTTGCTTGACAACACATTGTATTGCACAGGTATTTTTTACAGTCGGTACAGTTTAATGGGTCGTCAGCGTCTGAGCACTTGAGTTACAAGTTCCTGGGAACTTGTAACTTCAAAACAACGAAACACGTCTGATCCAGGTTGATGATTATGTCACTGAGTTCTTTACATGACGGATTGATATCGGTAAAATAAACTCTGACTCTTCTCTCCCTCAGCTGACAGACACCACCCCCGGCTCGGTCGTCCTCCTCTCTCGAGGAACCTTCTCCTGTCCCGCTAACCTGCTTCCCTGGCGCAGCAGCAGCTCAGGCATTTACAAGAAGAGCCACCGGAGGGCGCCATCCTCCGAGAGCGTGCCCGGCCTGGAGCGGCTGCTGAAATCCTGGTCCCTGACTGAGCTTCCCCAGGGCCCCTCTTCCACCTCTGGATCTCAAGGACCACTTGACCCCTACGAGCCTCTGCTGCCCCTCCTTATGGGGCCCTGCATGGGTCTGTGGAGGGAGTGCTACCTCCGGGGGGCGCTCCATGCACAGGTATAGAGGAAGCATGCTCTTGAAAACAGTTTCAGACTTTGTCACCAGACGTCCTGGAGGTTTGATTCCAGTGATGATTCACTGCTCTGTGGATGTTTTCAGTCTGACCTTGTTGCTTTTCACCCTCAGGCGTTCTCCCACCCCATCTCCGCCAACCACCCCCACCCCGTGGAGCGACTCGCCAGGGAGGTGCAGCTGCTCAAAGACAAACTGGCACAGGTGTCCACCACCGCAGAGGAGAACTCGCCCGTCAAGACAGCCGAGCGCCGGCGCACCGACACCAACCTGAACCAAAACACCAACAACGGCACCTTCCTCTTCCCGGCTTCAAGGCCCCACGGCACGGGGGTGACCCGGGCGACGCCCCCTCCTACCTCCGCCAACCACCAGACCTCTAGGGGCGCTCCTCCGCCAGCCGCAGCCCCACCATCCAGACCAAGCCACAAGGACAATAGTGGCGGCGGCGGCAGCAAGCACACCTTCCTGTTTGGGCACTCTTCAGCAGCAGAGGCCCGTCCTGACCAGCGGTACCACCCAGCGCCCAGTAACGCCAAGCTGCCAAAGAGCAACGGATCGATAGCTTCCTGATGACTCGTCGTCACTGTTTCCGTTCCACGTCCTGTCTGCACCAAACTAAGTGACGGTGTGGCGTCATGAGCTGAGCAGAAGGATGAAACGATGAGAACGAGCCCTTTACTCTATTTATCGTCTGTACTGTATTTAAGAAATGTGACAACTGTTTTATATTTTATAGAAACAAAACACGGTATTACGTTCTTCGTCTAATTAAATATATCGAACGGCAGAGAAGCAAAAAAAATCAAACGAGCATGGGCTGAAGATGCTTGATAATGAATAACATGTTTCAAAGCACAGAATCTGAAACTGCTTCAACTCTAGAAACGCTTCGAGACAGAAAGACAGTTTCCATTTTAAGCGTCTTATCATACAAGTGTTCCAGTGACCTGAGATAGAGGGTGGTGGTCGAGGACTCAACGCGGTGAATGGACAAACCACGGCTGTTCACTGGTTTAACCTTCCGCCTGTGTGACCACCAGACTTCGTCTCTGGGTTTTTTTTTATTTCGTTTCTCGTCTCAGCTCACGGAAAAGCAGAATCTCGTTTCTGAAAACAATCATTTCTGATTTTTTCAGCTGCAGCAGCTGCGACCAGCGACTTCACCGTGGAATTTAGGGCACGAGAGCTATTTTGGTTCTGCTCTCATATCTCTCCTCCTGCGCGGAGCGAGAGAGGCCTATATTCAGCTCAGTGTTATGTTAACCTCTGTGTGTCTGGATGAGGCCGCGCTCACAGAACATTACTGCCGTGTCATGACTGGGGTCACGTCAGGGCTTTGCTTTTATAATCCTGTGTAAAACGACCGAAGTGTTTTCTGACCAGAGTGATCGATATCTGATGTCTTGTGTGATTTCCGACCAGGTTTAGTATTAATTTGAGACATTTTCGTTGGAATTGAAAATGAAAAACATTATTGTTGCTGTTCTGATGAAAGTGAAGAAAGGAAGCAAAGAGAAGCTTAAATCTCCACCTCTGTTTTTCCTCTCCTCTCCTCTCGGGGGGTGTATCGGTGAGCAGCCGGCATTCAGGTCAAGGACTCGGAAGTGTCTGACCGTCTTTAATTCGCCGTCTGCTCCTGCGCCTTTAAATCCAAACAGGTTGTCGTTCGCATGATGTGGACGTCAGGTCGATGCACTGGCGTCATTCCCACGGACGAATGGTTTCATTTTGTTATGTATTTTTAAAAAAAGCCTGTTTTTCTCGTCGTCAGATGCGACTGATGTCCAGCTTCTGTCTAAAGGTACCTCACTTGATAGCACTATGAATTATTCAATTGTTCTTCATATTTATCGATGCTGATATCGGCTACAATTCCAGAACTTTCCAGGTGTGAGTCCAGTGCGTTCCTCGTCTTCCATAGAAAAAAAAAAACATCGTCCTGTTGCAGAGAAACTTTAATTCGATCTCCTGCTTCTGTTTGTATCTTTGTGTAATTTAATGTTTTTGGTATGAACTTCACTTCAATTTGCCAGATGTACAGATGTTTTGTATCAGCATGTTTTCATCCTGATGAATAAAAAGAAAAAGTGTTATCGCTTCACGAACTCTCACCAAAGAAAAAAACCCAGCCTGTTCTTGTACACAGCTCACAAACTTTATTTTCTAACAAAATAAATATTTACAATATGATCTGGAACACTTAAAAAGCAGTAGAATTAAAATGTAAAAATCCTGCATGATGTGTGGAGTCAGAGTGAAACTCTCTGAGAGTCAATGTGCAAAATGCTCAACGCTGGAACAGGAAACGTACAAAGTAAGAACAGGAAAATGTTAAATATCCAAAATATCCAAAACACAGTCGCTCCGCCTCCAAACATGTCACAGGTTTAAAACATGAGTTGGTAGAAAACTTTGACAGATCATCACGAGGAAATCATAACAGAGCCCCCTTTTTATTTTCTGCACATTGCGTCACTTTAAACCTACGGATGTTGACGTCATGCATTGTCACGTTTCACCTGAAGACGACAGACGACAGAGCGAGACCGAGCAGAGCGACACGACCTTTAGTTTGCAGTCCCAAGGTCTTCGCCTCGTTTTCACGGCAGTGCGTTAAAAAGAAGAAGAATCAACCGGGTCGTGCAGGAGCTGAGAGTTCACCACCACCGACTCCCGTGCTCCTTCCCCGTACACTGCGGCTCCTGCAGGAGGCTGTAGGACCCGCACAAGTACCCGGAGGAGGAAGGCCCCAGGCCCCCCAGCTGCCGGATGGACTTGCACATGGGGCAGGGGTAGTCGGACAGGCCCTCGATGTCCTCGAAGGCCAGGTTGACGATCTGGTCGCAGCAGGGGTCACAGTACAAGTGGCCGCAGGAGAGGCGCTTCAGACGGGCCTCGTAGGTGATGCAGCACTGGCAGTGCGGGTGGTCGGGGCCCAGCGACAGCGAGCCGGTCAGGGAGCTGCTGTCCAGGCTGCCGGCCTGACTGGAGCTCAGCTTGGTGGGAGACCTGAGAGGGACGAGGACAGAACGAGGACAGGACGAGGACAGGACGAGGACACTGGATCAATGGAAGAATAATCTATTCTTCTTGATGAGTTAGAGATTTGCTGTTCTGGGTTGATACTGTTTTCAAAAAAGATTGTTGGGGAAGTAGAATAAACTAAATACTCAAATAAATAAAACAAACCCAATCAACAATCATATAATAAATCAGAACGGCTCAAACCAAACACCTTCACCCGACACTCAACCTTATAAAACCAAATTTACATTCACTCTACTCCCGATGTTTGATCCAGATCTGTGATTCATTCTCTGTGAAACTGAAACTTTAAGAACTGACATGTTTGCACAGATCGACATCACTTCCTTTAACAAGTTGTCTCATTTTACGTTCAGTGATTTATGGATCTGGATGGAAACAGTCTGGCGCCTGCAGTGGATCAGACATCTGAGTGTGTGAGTTGCAGCTCGACTGAATCGAAACGAGCTGTCGGGGCCTCGGTGACTCGAAGAGCTCTGCTGGGAGCTGCTCTAGTTTTTAAAAACCAAATATTCTGGTTCCAGCTTTTCAAACGTGAGGATTTGCTGCTTTTATCATGTCGACCACGGAGGGAACGTGTTCACCTCTGTCAATCTGTGTGTGTGTGTGTGTGTGTTTGTCTGCAGGATTACACAAAAAAACACTGAATAGATTCCCATGAAACTCGGTGGAAGGACGGGACGAGTAAGAACACGTTATTCGAGCTGTTGTTCCACACAAAGCATTTCATTTAGGGATTTTATTTTATTTTTTTCATT